TCCAGCACGTCATCAACTACGACATGCCAGAGGAGATTGAGAACTATGGTGGGCACTGGGCCTCGTGGGAGGGGTCTAGAGGCCAGCAAGGCTCTGTGCCTGTCCCTGCAGTGTCCTGGGGCAGGGATGGTCTGTCACACTGTGCTCACCCAGGGCTGATCCTGTCCCTGTCTCCACAGTTCACCGCATCGGGCGTACGGGCCGTTCAGGAAACACTGGCATTGCCACCACCTTCATCAACAAGGCCTGTGGTGAGGAACAGCACAGGGCTGGGGGCAGCTGGGCAGTGCCAAGGGGGTGTTCTGAGCAAGCAGGATGGCTTTGCCTGACCTGTGTCTCTGCCCCCAGATGAGTCAGTGCTGATGGACCTGAAGGCTCTGCTCCTGGAGGCAAAGCAGAAGGTGCCACCTGTGCTCCAGGTGCTGCACTGTGGGGATGAGACCATGCTGGACATCAATGGTGAGAGACCCCAGGCTCACACAGGGACCCCCATGGGGCTGCTGCAAAACCTGGGCTCTGGAAGGGACCCTCCAGCTCCCAGTGCCACAACACTGGGGAGACACTGGTGTAGCTCCTTGGTTCTGGGGTGGGGGCTGCTGTCCCCACTGTGTGGCAGTGTATTGTTCTGGCCTTGACCCCATCTCTCCCATTGCAGGTGAGCGGGGCTGTGCCTTCTGTGGTGGCCTGGGCCATCGCATCACCGACTGCCCCAAGCTGGAGGCCATGCAGACCAAGCAAGTCAGCAACATTGGCCGCAAGGACTACCTGGCCCACAGCTCTATGGACTTCTAGCCTGGAGGGTGTGCTGCTCCTGGGTGGGCCTGGGTTTCCTGTCAGCCCAGGGGCCTGCCTTGCACTGCTGTGGCCCCTTTTCCAGAATTTTGGTCACTGGGACTGTTGCCAGCTCAGCCTGACGAAGCTCCTGTCTCAGAAGGAAATGTATGGAGCTGTGCTGCAACAGCCCATTACATCAATGCTGTGTTGGGCAAGCAGGTAGCAGTGCTTCAGGGCAAGAGAAAGCCCCAGGTGGGGCGACTGCTCTGCTGCCTCTGCCAACCCCATGCAGTGGTGAGGTCAGGGTCTTGTGTTGCTCCTCACAAATCCACCCAGTTTCTCTGGGCCCATGTCCCTCACCTGGATTTATGCATTTTCGGGTGGCTGTTCCTGTCTCCTCGGACGTGCTGGGAGGACACAGCCAGGGTGAGGTGGAGCATGCCATGCTCATGTCAGGCGCTCCCCGAGGTGCTTCCTGTGCTCTGCCCCCGCGTTCTGCCCCACTGCCCTGCTCTGAGGGGGAGGGCGGGCACATGGACACCTCCTGTGGCCCAGCCTCTGCCCCCCATCCCACACCCCAAAAAGGGGAAGTCTCTCTGAGACGGAAGTCTGCCCCATGCCTTTCCTTCGACTGCAGCAGTCACATTTTCTGCGCTGTGGGTAGCCAGAGTCCCTTATCCTTGCGCTGGCTGCCAGGGTGAACTGGGCCCATGGAGAGACCAGTGAAGGATGGGATCCTTTATGTGCAGCACACCAAATTTGGAAAGGTAAAGTGTGGATTTGGGGTTGGTAGAGGGTTTGCCCTGATTTGTCATGAGGCTGGGCCTGGGGCTAGGCCCTCAGCAGCCTGGGAAGGGGTGACTGGAGCCAGACCCATTGGAGCTGCCCTTGGGGGAGCCCTGGGCTCAGCAGCTCCATAAGTGGGGCTTTCCTGTGGGGCTGAGGGGACCCATCTGTGTGGGCACCCACTCTGGCTCGCCCATGTGTTGGGTTCTTCTTGCTTGGTCACCGCGTGAGTCTCAGTGGAAGAATAAACGTGCGTTAATATGGCGCAGCTCCAGCGTTTGTGTGAGTGTATGTGTGAGTGGGGCCCTGGGTCAGCACGTGGGATGTGTCTCTGTGCCCTCCATCGGCCTGGCCCTGCGGGGCCAGCACCATCCAGCAACACCCTGGTGGCTTGGGCTGCTCCTCTGTGCCCTTGGAGGGGGCACTGAGTGCCACAGCCCTCGGGGCAGGGTATGGGCGACACAGTGAGAGTACCTGGGGTCGGGCCAGCTCCAGGGAGCTGTCGGGTGTGGGCGAAGTAGGTCGGGCTGGTCACACCATGGTAGGGTGGCCGTGTCCTGTGGGGGTCTCAGTGGATGTGTGGGGCTGCAATTGCACTCTGACCTCCCTGCTGAACAAGAACCAAGACCCGGAAGCTCAGCAGGCAGCCCCTGTATGTGACGAGCTGGTGCCCTGCCATGGAGGAGGCAGGTGGGCTGGGGGTGGTGGGTATTTTGGGTGCTTGGCTGCATCTGGTTCCTGCAGGGCGGAGGCTCTGTGCACTTTTGAGGTATATGGTGGCATGCGCCCCCGCTATCCCATGACAGACTGGCATGGTGCTGGTGCTGCAGAGGCTCCCCTGGGAGGAAGCAGGCTGCTCAGCAGATGTGAGGCTGCCAGCAGGAGCCTCAGCAGCTCAAAATGGCTTTAATTTGCATCAGGGTCTGTCCTGAGAACAGCTCGAGAGCTCAGCGAGAGCTCAGCTGCAGGTCGGCAGGCCAGCACTTGCAGCAGGGAACAAAGAGCAGGACCTGGTGCTCAGAGAGCCAGGAGTGAGTGTGACTCACCCAGTGAGCCGTGCCAAGCCCGCTCGGGGCAAGGCCCCCCTCAGCCCAGCTTCAGGCCTGCCCTGCCCCACAGTTCAGGGGTCTGTGCTGGGCCCTGTTCTCTGTGCCCTCCAACAACACCTGGCAGGTGTGCGCCGGGACTCCCCCATGCCCTTCTGTGCCCTGTATGGAGGACAGTGCTGCCAGATAGATACAACAGCCAGCTCTTGGCTGACCCATTTTTTCCCTGCCTTTGCCCTTTCTATGCATTAGAGGTCCTGGAGGAAGATGCGAGCCCAGCTGTTTGCTGCCAGCCCATCCGGCGTGGCCCGCATGGAGAAGTTTGACGTGCGGGATGATGGCACGGTCCCAGAGAAGATGTCCCTGCAGCGCTGTGCCCGCCGCGTGATCCGCCTCTCTGACTGCGTCTCCGTGGGCCCGGCGGGCACCCAGAGCTGCCCCAAAGCCACTGCTGCCTTCTACCTCACCACCACGGAGAAGAGCTATGTGCTGGCAGCCGAGCAGCGCGATGAATGGATCACCCAGCTCTGCCAGCTGGCCTTCCAGGTACCAAGGGGTCTGGCAGAGCCAAGAGCCCGACTTGGGTGAGCTGGGAAGCTCCAGGGCAGGCAGGGGAATTGTGCTCTCCCCCTCCTGTCCCAGGTCATATTCACATCCTTTTGTTTCAGGGTGGAAAAGAGACAGTGCCGAGTAATGCCAGGACCCAGCCCAGCCCCGCTGTCCCCATGGAGGAGAATTCTCTCTATTCCTCCTGGCAGGACCGTACGTGCAGGGGTGGTGAAGAGGGCTGGGGTGGGCTGCAGCTCAGTGCTGCAGTGCTGACCCCTGGTTTTTTTGGCTCCCACAGTGACTGAATTCTTGGTGCTGGTCGTCCAGACAGACGCAGCCACCCGCTGCGGGCTGCACGGGCACTACCTGCTCTCAGCCCTTCCCCAGAGCCTGACGCTGAAGGACCCCCAATCCCGCCAGCCCCTGCTCACCTGGCCCTACCCCTTCCTTCGCAAGTTTGGCCAGGATCAGGTGAGTCCCCCACTCCCTTTTGGGGGCTGTTGCCTGCCCAGGGTGGGTGGCAGCCCCTCACCCTCCCCTCTGACCCTGCAGGCTGTCTTCTCCTTCGAGGCTGGCCGCCGCAGTGACTCCGGCGAGGGCACCTTCACCTTCAGCACCCCACGGGCCCCTGAGCTCTGCCGGGCTGTGGCTGCTGCCATTGCCTGCCAGCAGCAGGGCAAGGACACCCTGGAGCCCAGACTCTTCTGTGTCTCAGAGCCCCAGCTCTTTGCACAGGGCCTTGATCCCCAGCCCTGGGGGCCTGGGAATGATGATCCCCAGCCCAGCTCAGCCCTGGGGGGCACACAGCCTGCCTCCCACCCCCCTGCCAACCTCCTCCGCTTCACCCCACCAGAGCCAGAGGCCTCATGCCCCATCGTCTATGCCTCCATCGCCCGGGGCCAGCAGCCCCTCTTTGTGTCAGGGCAGCCAGGCTCTGGGGAGCCCTGGGCCGTGGGGAAGCCGCTCCCTGAGCATCTCTACGAGAACATCTTCACTGCAGAACCACATCCAGCCAGGGCCCAGGAAGAGGAGGAGGAAGGGCAGTGGGAGCTGGGGTGCCGACAGGCCCCCGAGGGCCACAGCAGTGAGGGGGGGCCCGTCTATGACAACCGGGCCGCCATGGCACCGACCCCCCGGGCCGCGGGCTGGGGGCGCGGAGGGCAGGAGGCGCTGTCAGGGCGCTCCGGGCACAAACCTCACAGCACCCTTCGGGCCAAGCTGGTGCGGCTGCTGAGCCGGGAGAGCCCCGGAGCGCGGGACTGGGCTTGATGTGGCCGGTGCCGTTCGGTCAATAAAGGCCCTTCCCGGACCCGGCTCCGCCGCCGCTGCGAGGAGTGGGGGGGGCGGGCGGGGCAGCTCGAGCCTCCCCGCTAGAGGGCGCCGCCGTGCCCGCCCCGGCAGGCAGAGGAGCGCACGGTGATTGGCCGAAACTCCCGCTGGCACCGCCCCCTCCTGATCCTATATATGGTGGGGCCGGGCCGGGCGGGGGCGGTGCCCGGGTTCGAGTCCCGCGTCGGCCCGCACCGCTCCGCTCCCGCCCGCTCCGCCGGGCCCCGCTGGCCGCGGGTGAGTCCGGGCCGAGGCGGGGGGCTCCGTCCTCTGCCGGGGGGCACGGGGGCGTGAGGGGTGGAGGGCTGAGGCCTGGCGTAAGGGGAAGGTGGGTGGTCAGGGTCGGGCCCGTGCGGGGAAGAGCCAGCGTCCCCGACCCCTGGAGGGGGGCGGTGGTGTGGGATGGGGAGGGGTCCCGAGGCCCCCGCGGGTCAGGGTGGGGCTTCCCAGCAATAAGCTGAGCTGCTGCCCACTCTGTGCACGCCGGGGACCCCCGGTGCACTCGGGCTCCGTCCTGCCGGGGAGGGGTGGGGGGTATCCGCCCGCTCCGGGCCGTCCCGTCCCGGCGCCTCGCTGGGGCTTGCGCGGCTCCCGGGCGCCGGGAATGCCTGACACGCAGCTCTTCCCCCGGCCCTCCCGAGCGGGGAGCGGGCTGGTGTCGTCTTACACGCCTTATATAGACCGCACCGGTCCAGGGAGAGCGGGGGCACGCTGGCCCCCGGCCCTGCGGCCGGCCCGTGCGAGGCGTGGGGAGCCCCACAGCCGGCCCTGTCCGCCCTCGGGGGGAAGGTCCTGGGGCCGTTCGCAGGGGTCTGGCGGCTCCTTCCAGGTAAAAGGTGACAAGTGGCTGGCGCTGGCCCGTCTGTCCGGAGCCTTGGCCGGCTGACAGCTGTCAGGCAGGGGAGCGCCGGGATTCCCTCCTGCCGAAGCCCCGGAGATGGGCTCGCTCCCAGGGAGCATCTGCTCGGCCGGCTGCCGGAGCGCCAGCCTGGCTGCTGTGCCAGCGCCTCGGGTGGCATCACGCAGCTCCTGTGCTGCTGCTGCTAATTCATCCGGCAAAAATGCTTCTGGTTCCTATCCTTCTGTACCTGCTGTTGCTTCTCTGTGGTCTGAACAGCCTTGGCTCTCAGCAGCAGAAGTTCCTGGGGTGCTGCAAAGGAGAGCACATCCCAGGTTGGGGAAGAGAGCAGAGCCCACAGATACTCCACTGTGGGTGGCAGCAGGGCTGTGCCTGGCTCCCTGGCACTAGTCAGTGTTAGCCTGGGCCCCTCAGCTCTGACGTTGCTGGAGGAGATGCTGATGGATTTGGGGTGCGTCTCTGACCACAGTGTAGGATGGTCAGGGTGGAGTTACAGGTGGAAACGTGACCTGCCTCCTGTCCTACCCTGCCAGGCACCGAGCCCTCTCCTCGCCTCCTCTCCCTGCATTGTTTCCACATTCCCTAACACTGGGATCACACCCTCTTCCCTTGCAGAGATGGGCGACATGGAGTCCTACAAGGTGATGCTGAATGGGCCAGCACCCTGGGGCTTCAGGCTGCAGGGAGGGAAGGATTTCAGCATGCCGCTCTCCATCTCCAGGGTAAGAGAAACCAAGGCTGGTGACACCCATCCTTCCTCCTGCCTCTGTGGGAGGGAGGCCGCAGTGGCTGAGGCAGAGCCGTACGGGGGATGTAGATGAGCTGGGGCCCCGGGAATGCTGCATCCTGCCCTGCCTGGCTCCACGTAGCCTCCTTGGTCCCTTATCAGCTGCAGCCCAGCACGGGGGTGTTCCGGGCAGAGAGCTGCAGGCAGAAACGTGAAATTCTGCACAGCCTCTGCAGAGGGGGCAGGGGAGGCCCCTTCCGGAGTGTTCCCACCACAGCGGGAGGGGATCTGCTCTCTGAGATGTGGGCCTGGCTTCCTGGTCTGCACCCCAGCACTGGGCTTGGCATCCCAGGACCGAGCCAGTGCCCTTCTGCCCTCCTTTCCACAGCACAGCTCCCAGCTCTGTGCCTGAGGTCACTCCTGAAATGGGCATGGAGAGGAGGAAGCTGCACTGCTGCCTGCGCAGGGATGTGACTCCCTCCCCTAAACTCTCCCGTTTCTTCAGTGAGAACCGTTGTGCCACAGCTGGTTGTGCCCGTGGCCGCTGGTTTGAGCCTCTCCTGTTGCAATGTTCCCGGGTTTGACCCTGGCTGTGTGCAGGTCCCCGTCCCTGGGCGGGTGCTGGCCACAGCTTTGGCCACGCAATTGCCTTATAAGCCTTGGAATGTGCCTGCATCGCCTGCGCCGCTGGCGCTGGGGCAGCTGGCACGGACGCTGCTTCTCAAAGGACAGCTTTGCTTTGTGGCATTGAGTGCTGCGTGGGGACCTGCCCCTGGCACGAGCCGGGCACTGCGCACCTGCCCCAGAGGGCACAGATCTCCACAACATCCCAGCACGGAGCACGGGCCCTGAGGGCACTGAGTGAGGCTGGAGTCGCCTGTGCTGCTGCCCCGGGGCCTGCTGATCTCTGCTGAGCACGCAGAGACAGATTCAGCCAGTTTATTCTCTAAAAAATGTTTCTCTTGGCTGCGAGCCAGTTCTTAACAAAGGGTCTGGTTGGATGGAGGAGCCTCCCAGAGCCTGGGGCAGGGGCCTCGTGAAGCAGTTCTTGGTGAGGCTTGGGCAGTGCTGCCGTCCTGGGCAGGGCAGGAGCAGCAGGGACATTCCCAGGGTATGCAGCCAGCTTTGGGGGCTCTCTAGTGAGGCTGGGCTGCATGGCAGGGCGGTGTACTCTGGTGGGAAAGTGTGAGCCTGTGCTGCTCTGCACTCCAGAGGCATCCCCAGACCCAGAGCTCCTGCCCAGAGCATGCTGCTGTCCTTGGCCACTGCCTCCCGTGAGTTGGCCCTGCTGCAGCAGGCTGGAAGGAAGCATCCTGCCCCAGCTTTGTGGGCTGTAGTGGGGCCCTGCTCTGCAGGGGTGCACAGCACAGGACAACACTGGTATGTCCATTGGCTTGGCTTTCAGCTGTGTCCATCGCTGCGGCACTCCTGGGTGAGCAGTGAGGCTGTTTCAGCTCAGTGATCACACAAAAGAGGTGCCACCATGGCCCTGTGACATGTACCTCCTGTGGCACAGGGCTCTGCTAGGTGCTGACACCCTGGCTAGGCAGGCTGTAAACCATGGTCCCTGTGCTGGAGCTGGGATAAGGACTGCATTCTGGATAGCTGGATGCTGCGTGGCACATCCTGGCATCTGCCAGCTGGGAAAGAGGAGAGACACTTGGGTGCTACTGGCGGGAAGGCACCAAGGGGGCTCTGTTCTGGAGGCCTCTGGACAGGGCAGTAGGTGAGCACCTCTCTGGATGTGGTGATGGAGGTGCAGAGAACAAAAGACTGGGTGGAGTGGGGAGGAAGGAAGCCCTGGTTAGCGGGTCTGGGTGGGAAGTAGGAGGGCTGGCACTGCCATGGCTCCTGGCTGTGCTGGCACCTGTCAAAAGGGGTTTCCTGCACGTTGGCATGGAGGGGGACGGGAAGTGCTGACCAGGCTGGGTGAGGCTTCATGACGCAGCCTGACGTGCTCTCCCCTTCCTGGGCAGTCGTGTGAAAACCTCTCCCAACTCCTGCTCCTGCCTCCAAACCCACGCAGCTGCCCTGTGCCTTCCCCAGCCCTCCAGGGCAGCAAGCTGGGGCTTGCAGCAGCATGGCCAGGAGCTGGGGGCATCACTGCTGTGAGGGCACCCTCCTGTGCCAGGCTGGAGGAACGGGAGGGCGGTGTGGGGATACGGGGTGGGAGTACCCATGTCCTGCTGGGAATAGCAGTGGGATGCAGGTGGAGCTGGGCCACATCCAGTCCATATGTGGTGTTTGGCCTTGCATGGAGGGCTGGTGTTGGCCTAGAGGAGGGATGTGTGACTCCAGGGTGAGCTGGGTTCTGTAAGGAGGGGCCAGGACTCTGTGGTAAGGATTTTTCAGCCCTCTGACAGTGCTGGGAATCTGGCTCGCTCCTTTTATGTTCATGTCGAACAGGACTTGAGGAAATACTTGGTCTGGGTCCAAGCGCCTCGAGTTCTTCCATGCTGGAGGAGCAGGAATGGCTGCAGCCTGCCCACGTCTGTCTGTCTGTCTGTCAGTGCCTGGGAGCTGTGTGCAGTGCTCTGGGCCCTGCTCTGGCTGTGCATCCCTGGTGGGAGGGGAGGGCAGGGCAGCCTCCACTTCCCAGCACGGGGCTGACGTTCAGCCGTGCCATGGAGCCAAGCAGGGCCAAGGCGCATCCCTGGCACCGTGGCCAGGGGAAGGGAAGTTTGTGGCTGTGCTCCCGGCTGTCCCAGCGGGATGACATGGTGGGGGCGGGTGTCTCCCTGCCCCGGCAGGGCTCCTGCTCCTCTGGGAATGAGGTAATGTCTGTGCCTGGTGGGAACGGGACAGGAGCGCCGGCGGCTGGGGGAGTGCCCCAGGGGTGCCTCCCCTGTCCTTCCCCGCCCCAGCCAAGGGCTGGACATGCCTGTGGTTTGCAGTGAGATGAGGGCTGCCCAGCAGGCCCTGACTCACTGTGCTCTCTTCCTGCCCTGGGACCACAGGGATGACTCCAGGGGGTGGCTGGACTTCGAGGCTGAGGCAGCGCTGCCTCTGTGTTTGGTGTCACGGCAGTGAGGCCTTGGGCTGCTGGCAGGGTCCCCAGGCGTGCCAGAGGGCAAGGGCTGGGCAGTGCCTGGAGAAGTGCTTTGCCTTCTGCTGCTGCCAAGGGGAAGAGGCTGCTCTGGGCTTATGCACTGGGAAATGAGGAATAATCTGGGGTTGCCACTTTTCCCTGGGTCAGGTCAGTGCAGTGTCCTGTGCTAGGCTAATGATCCTGGGCCTCGGAAGGCCCCTGCCCTCATGAGGATGTCCCTCTGCTCCCATGTCACTGCTTGGCTGTTCCAGCAGTCCCTAACTCTGTCTGTCCTGCAGCTGACTCTGGGTGGGAAGGCAGCCCAGGCCGGCGTGGGAGTGGGCGACTGGGTGCTGTACATCGACGGGGAGAGCACCAGTGCCATGACACACATCGAGGCCCAGAACAGGATCCGTGCCTGTGGGGACAGGCTCTGCCTCACCTTGAGCAGGTAGGAATCATGAGTCCCTCAAACATGGGGTTCTGCTATGACTGGAGTGTAATCAGGGCCCTCTGCCCTGTGCCACATCTTGGTATCACCATCTCCCAGCATCACTGCTCCTTACTTAGAGGCTGGAAGTCCCAGGCTGTGTCCAAGGGCTCTGCTTGCCTGGATAAGGCTTAACCTGACTGCAAGCCACAGGGCAGTGCCAGCTGGCCATGTTTCCCCTCAGCTGGGTGCTGCATCCCTGGGGTACCAGCATGCTGGTGGTGTCTGGACCAACTCCAGTACCTGCCCATCTGTCTCCTCTCTTGCAGAGCCCAGAACCAGCTGGGGAAGCCGCAGAAGGTACGTGTTGCTCCTGGTGCCGCAGTGGCAGCTCAGCCTCATCTCAGGGCAAGGGAATCTCAGTGTAGTGAAACAAATGGACTTTGCTCTTGGGGCTTTTAGGGGGCTGGGGTGTGTTTGAAGGTCTAGAAAGCCCAGCTGGAGGAGCAGCTCTGACCTCTGGCACCGTGGAGGATCAGAGGGAGCGGGATCTGCACAGTAGGTGCCTGGGCCCAGATTGTCTGTCCCCCTGCTGGGTGTGGGCAGGGATGCAGAGGGGCCAGCACAGGGGAGGAGGCTGGGCAGGTGCAGCACCATGTTTGCTAGTGCTGGGGAGTGCCCTGGCACAGGGAGGCAGGGCTGGGGCTGGTGACTGGTGGCTCCTGGGCAGAAGCCACCTGCATGCGTTCAGCTTTTGCCGTGGGACAGTTGCAGTTGGCGTGTGTGCATGCACCGCCCTGCCATGGGCAGCAGCGAGTGTCCGGGCCACCTACTAATCTCCAAATGACCCTCAGGCTGGGTTTGTGACCTGCTGTCTCTGGGCCAAGTGCCCAGTGGAGCGAGTGCCAGCCTGGCAGAGCCTGGTCTTCAAGGTGCACGTGCTGTCCGGCTTCCCTCCCTGGCTGCCCGCTGCGCTGCCTGGCCCAGGGCTGCTCCTTGCATGCTGCTTGACGTGTGAGCCCGTGTCTGTGTGTTTTGTCTCGCTCAGGACTCACTCCCCTGCTCTGAACCCCTGAAATATAACTTCGCTCCCAGCACCGCCCTCAACAAAACAGCCCGGCCCTTCGGGGCCGGCTCACCTCCGAACCCACGGCCCGGGCTGGTGACGAAACCCGTGACGTACGCGCCCCTGGCGCCCGCCTGCACCCCCCAGCACAACGGGTACGTTGCTGTCCGTCCTGCTCCCTGAGGATCGGGGGGAGCCTGCTGCCCCGCCCTGCTGCGCCTTGCATGCCAGGCACCCTGGGGGGGAGCGGGTGACAGCGCCCGTGCCGGAGCAAACGGGGGCTGGTGCTGAGGTGGCACAGCAGAGCTGTCTCACACAGGGACACGCGGCCACGCTCATGCCGGGCCCTTGCTCAGGGACGTGTCAGCCTGTGGGGGCTCCTGCCAGGCTTGACACGGTGGCTGTAGCAGGACACTGGCTGGCGTCTGCAGTGGCAGGGAAATGGTGGCTGGCTGTGACCACTGGCCGGTGCCTGCCTGGAAGTCCTGCCGTTCCCCTGGCTGCAGGAAGGGGCTGGGCAGAGTGATGGCCTCCAGCTCTGCCACTCTGTTCCCTGGCTCTGCTGCATGTGTGCAGCAGCTGCTGGTCTCTGCTCCTCCTGCCAGAGCTGCCGTAGTGCCCAGGAGCTGGGCAATGGGGCAGGATGTGGCATTGACTGCCCCAGGCATCCAGGCCTGTTCTAGGGGCTGAGGGAGCACAGTCTGGTCTGCTGGCATCTGCCCCTGTGCCCCAGTGTGTTCTCAGCCCTGGGTGAGCTGGGTGTGAGACTCAGGGATAGGGGACTAATGCGGGCCATAGGTGAGCTCTGGAAACTTCTTGGGTGCTGTAGGTCTAATTTCACCTTCCTTTTTCTTTCTTTCTCTCCTCCCTTTCTCTTTCCCTCTCCCTACAGGTGCTGAGCCTTGACAAGTCAGTAAGCCTTTTACCTGCTCTCTCTATCCTCCCTGCATGCCTCTTCCCTGCCAGTGCCCTGTCCTTCAGGGCAGGGCCAGCCTGGGGATGGGCAGCAGGCACTGCTCTGCCCATGTGGGTGGGTCACTGCTGGCACCAAGCTGTCCCCAGTGTAGAGGGGACAGCTGCCTGTCTCTGCCAGCTGCTGGGGCTCTGGAGTGTCCTTGTGTGTGATCCATTCCCTGTTCCTCAAGACGTGACTGTGCTGGGCAAGGGCTGATGGGCTGTGCTGGGCACCATGCCCACGGCCAGCTGGCTCTGCCATAGACGGCTGTGGTGCAGCTCCCTGATGGTGTTTTTTTGACCTTGGCTTATTCTTGCTCTGTCCTTTCTCTTCTGGCCCTTGGGGCCAGTTTCAAATTGCCAGGAATGGTGGTGGTCATTCCAGAGTCAGTCCTTCACAGGCCCAGCCTTTGTGAGGGAGGAGTTGGGAGGTGGGGAGGAAGACAAGGTGTGATGTCTCTGCTGTGATTCTGTGCTGGGGAAGGTGGGGAGCAGCCCCAGGAGATCTGTCAGATTTGACAGATGACTCTGTCACTCACAGGCAGCCCCCACAGCTGCTGGAGTCCCCCAGCACCCCCGTGTGTGACCCTGTGAAGCTGCGGATGTTAGAGGACATTGATGACTCAAAGCCCCCCAGCTGGACCTCCCAGTCCCGCTCCTTCCGCAAACTGTCCCGCCTGGTGGGCGCCGATGGCAGTGAGTTCCCATGGGGCCTGGCACTGCCCAGCTTTGCTGGGGAAGCTGGAGCTGGAGAAAGGCTTTGGTGCCTCATGGAGTGTTGGTTTTGGCCCTCCGTGGCAGTTAAGCCAGGCAGAGCTGCCTGGGGCTGTGTGAGCACATGGTGGTGCCGCTGGGCTGGGGCCGTGCTCTGCCCCGTGGCCAGGCAGGGCTGTGTTGGGATAGGTGGGCAGTGGGAGGAGAGGGCCTCTTCCCTTTCCTGTTCCTTTCCCTTCCTGCTCTCTCTGGGCCTCAGTTGCTGCAGACTGACTCCATCTCCCCCTTTCTCTCCTGCTATGCTCAGTGGAGGATGGTGAGGACGAGCTTGTTAAAAAGCCCAGGTAAGGGGAGCGTGTGCTGGAGCAGCAGCAGGATCCACAAGGTGCTCACCCCAGGCTCAGCCCACACACCTGGTTCTCTCTTGCTGCTTGCAGTCACTCAGGGGAAGCTCTTTGCTCTGTTGCTGTTTTTTCTCTCTGTCTGCAAGAGTCGAGCTGTTGGTGGAGCTGCAGAGCTCACCCCGCAGTGGGCACTGCCAGAGCTCAGCCACTGCTCTGGCTTCCACCTCGGGAGGGTCCTGCCAGGACACACCAGCCAGAACAAGGTGTCCTGTGCTGGGTAGAACCTGCTGGGCACTGCTGGCACCAAGCTGGGGAGGCCAAGCTCTGCCATTGCTTCTTGAGGAAGAGGGACCTGGAGAAGGCTGGTGCACAGAGAACACCTTGCTGGGGGTATTGGGAGGTGCTAGGCAGCAGCTGGACAGTGTGCTGTGAGCCTGGCATGGGTCTGCAGGACAGTGTGTTGTGAGCCTGGCATGGGGCTGCAGGATGGCAGGTCAGAGCTGGCTGAGTGTCTCTGACTTCTGCTTCTGGAGTGCATTTGTGAGGGATGGGCTGTTCGTGGTCAAAGACTGAGTGTTGTGCTACCCTTCTTTTCAATATCACAGGGATGCCCATGGGTCCAGCTGGGGCACAGTGGAGCAGTGGTGAGTGCCAGGGTCTGGTGAGGGCACCTTTGGCGGCACTGCCCTGTGCTGAAGCAGGGTCTGTACTTGGTGCTGGCTGAAGTTCCTGCCCTCTGTCACTCACAGGCAGCCTCTGGAGCCCCCCAGCACCCCCGGGTGTGATCCTGGGAAGTTGAGGATGTTGGAGGATGCTGAGGACTGGCAGCCCCGCACTGGCACCTCCCAGTCCCGCTCCTTCCGCAAACTGGCCCAGCTGACGGGCACAGATGGCAGTGAGTTCCCACAGGGCCTGGCACTGCCTGGGGATGTGGGACTGTTTTGGGGTAACCAGAAGTTGGGAGGAGCAGTGGGGTGATGTAGCACCCGGGAGTGTTGGTTTTGGCCCCAGTTAACTCCCTGAGGGCCGCTGAGCCAGTGAGATCTGCCCAGGGCTGTGTGTGGGCTCATGGTGGTGCTGCTGGTCTGGGGTTGTGCTCTGCCCTGTGGCCAGACAGGGCTGTGCAGTGGGGCCAGGCGAGTGGAGAGGTTGGTTTTCCTCCTTTCCCTTCCTGCTTTTCCTGGACCTTAGTTGCTGCAGACTGACTCCATCTTCCCCTTTCTCTCCTGCTGCACTCAGTGGAGGATGGTGAGGATGAATTTATTAAAAAGCCCAGGTAAGGGGATCGTGTGCCAGGGCAACAGCAGGAGCCACAGGATGCCCACCCTGGGCTCAGCCCACAAGGCTTGTTCTCTCTCACTGCTTGCAGTCACTCAGGGGAAGCTCTTTGCCCTGTTGCTGTTTCTTCTTTCCTCTCCTTATCCTCCACCCTCTATCCTGTCCTTTCCCTCTTCCTAGAGCCAAGCTGTTGGCAGAGCCACAGGCTCACCCCACAACAGGCACTGCCAGTGCTCAGCCACTGCTCTGTCACCTCAGGAGGGTCCTGCCCAGACACCCATCAGCCAGGCAAGCTGTGCCCAGATGAGGTGTCCTCACGCTGGGTGTGCAGGCAGGACCTGCTTGGCACTGCTGGCACCGAGCTGGGGAGGCCAAGATGCAGCACAGTGTGCTGGACACAGTGGGCAGGGGTGGCTGTTGGCACTGACAGCACCTTGCTGGGGGTGTTGGGAGTTGCAGGGTAGGGAACTGGATCAGACTGGGGCACAGTGTCATATGGGGCCAGGGAATGGCTGCAAGGCTGATCAGGAGTGAACACTCAGCATTTCCACAAGGCTTGTGCGTCTCTGGGGCTGTGGATGTGTATGGGGAGGGATGGGCTGGTCAAACACTGACTTCTGTGCCACCATTCTTTCTGATACCACAGGGATGCCCATGGGTCCAACTGGGGCACGGGGCAACATCGGTGAGTGCCAGGTTCTGGCAGAGGTGTTGGCATGTCCCAGGGCATCTTTGGGGATGCTTCCCTATTCCAGAGCAGGGTCCAGTCCTGGTGCTGAGCTCCTGCCCTCTGTCACTCTCAGGCAGCCCCCTCAGGCTCTGGAGCCCCCCAGTGACACTGTGTGTGACCCTGTGAAGCTGCGGATGTTAGAGGACATTGTGGACTCAAAGCCCCACACCTGGACCTCCCAGTCCCGTTCCTTCCGCAAACTGGCCCGGCTGGTGGGAGCAAACAGCAGTGAGTTCTGCAGGGCCTGGCACTGGCTGCCTGCCCAGCTGTGCCCAGCTTTGCTGGGGCAGCTGCTAAAGGCTCTGGTGTGTTGTTACAGCAGGGCATTGGTTTTGCCCTATTTGGGCCCTCTGTGGCAGCTGAACCAGCAGGAGCTGCCCAGAGCTGTGTGGGCTCGTGGTGGTATCACTGGGCTGGAGCTGTGCTCTGCCCTGTGGCCAGGCAGGGCTGTGTGGTGGGGCAGGGGGGCTGTGGGAGGAAAGGGCATTTTTCCTTCCTTTCCTTTCCCTTTCCTTCCTCCTGTGCCTGGGCCTCAGTTGCTGCAGACTGACTCCATCTCCCCCTTTCTCTCCTGGTGTCCTCAGTGGATGATGGTGAGGATGAGCCCGTTAAAAAGCCCAGGTAAGGGGCAGCAGCAGGAGCCACAAGGTGCCCATGCCAGGCTCAGCCCCCACAGCCACTTCACCCTTGCTGCTTGCAGTCACTCTGGGGGTGCTCTTTGCACTGCTGGGGGTTCTCCCCTCCCTCTCTGTCCCCTCTCCCAGACTTGAGGTGTTTTCAGAGCTGCACAATGGGCACTGCCAGCATTCAGTCACTGCTCTGACCATCACCTCAGGAGGGTCCTGCCCCAAGCACCCACCTGGGTAGGGGTTGCTGGTGACAATCACAACACCTTGCTGGAGATGTTGGGAGGTGCTGGGCAGCAACTGTGGAGCAGCTGCAGGGCTGCTGGTCAGTATTTCCATGTGGCTCATGCCTCCACGGGGCTGTGGGTGCATATGGTAGGCATGGTCAAACAGTGACTGTTGTGCTGCTGTTTTTTCCAATGTCACAGGGATTCCCATGGGTCCATCTGGGGCATAGTGGAGCAGCGGTGAGTGCCACAGTCTGTCAGAGGTGTTGCCATGTGCCAGGTCACCTTTGGCAGCACTGCCCTGTGCTGCAGTGTTGAAGCAGGGTCTGTGCTTTGTGCTCGCTGAGCTCCTGCCCTCTGTCACTCACAGGGAGCCTCTGGAGCCCCCCAGCACCCCCGGGTGTGATCCTGGGAAGCTGCGGCTGATGGAGGACGCGGAGGGCTGGCAGCCCCGCACCGGCACCTCCCAGTCCCGCTCCTTCCGCAGGCTGGCCCAGCTGACAGGCACAGATGAGAGTGAGTCCCCATAGGGCCTGGCACTGCCTGGGGATGTGGGACTGTTTTGGCAGTGGGAGAGGCAGTGGGGTGATGTGGCATCAGGAGTGTTGATTTTGGCCCCAAGTCACCCCTTGAGGGCCGCTGAGCCAGCGGGAGCTGCCTGGGGCTGTGTGTGGGCTCGTGGTGGTGCTCTGGGGCCGTGCTCTGCCCCATGGCCAAGCAGGGCTGTGTGATGGGGTATGGGGATGATGGGTGGGAAGGTTGGTTTTCCTCCTTTCCTTTCCTTTCCTGCTTTTCCTGGGCATCAGTCACTACAGACTGACTCCATCTCCCCCTTCCTCTCCTGCTGCAGTGGAGGATGGTGAGGATCAGATTGTTAAAAAGCCCAGGTAAGGGAGCATGTGCTGAGGCTGCATGTCCCAGGTGTCTGGGCACTGCTGGCTCTGAGCTGGAGATGCTGAGCTGCACCTTAGACTTTTGGGCATACAAGGAATGGAGGAGGCTATGGCACTGGGAAAACCTGGCTATGGGATGTTGGGAGGTGCTGGGAGTGCCTGCACCTGGGGCACATTGTGAGCCTGGTGTGGCAGAGCTGGGCGAGTGCTGCTGGCTCATTTCCCCTCAGTGTCACTACTTCTCATGACTCTGGGTAAATTCTTTGCCCTGTTGTGGATTCTTCTCTCCCTCCTTGTCCTCTCCCAGAGCTGAGGTGGTGGTGGAGCTGCAGAGCCCACCTTGTGCTCAGCCCACAACAGGCACTGCCAGTGCTCAGCCACCGCTTTGATCTTCACCTTGGGAGGTTCCTGCCTGGACACCCCCTGGCCAGACAGTTTGTCCCCAAATGGGTGTGCAGGCAAAACTCACTGGGCACTGCTGCTGGCACCAAGCTGGGGAGGTTAATATGCAGCACAGTGTGTAGGGATGGCTGGTGACACAACACTTTGCTGGGCATTTTTGGAGTCACAGGGCAGGCACTGTACCTGGGGCACGATACCATGTGGGGTCATGTAATGGCTGGTCAGGCTGGTCAGGAGTGAATGCTTTTGGCATTCCCATGAGGTTCTTATATCTCTGAGATTGTGGGTGCATATGGAAAGCACGGGCTGAGCCATGGATCAGCCACTGACTGCTGTGCCACCGTTTTTCTGATGCCACAGGGATGCCCATGGGTCCAGCTGGGGCACGGTGGAGCAACGGTGAGTGCCAGGGTCTGGCAGAGTTGTTGCCACGTGCCAGAGCACCTTTTGGAGTGCTTCCCTGTTCCAGAGCAGGGTCTGTGCTTTGTGCTGGCTGAGCTCCTGCCCTCTGTCACTCACAGACAGCCCCCTCAGCCTCTGGAGCCCCCCAGCACCCCCGGGTGCAGCCCTGGGAAGCTGCGGCTGATGGAGGACGCTGAGGACTGGCAGCCCCGCACCGGCACCTCGCAGTCCCGCACCTTCCGCAGGCTGGCCCAGCTGACGGGCACAGACAGCAGCAGTGAGTTCCCACAGGGCCTGGCACTGCCCGGGGGTGCTGGGCTCTCCCTGGGCTGCCAGAGTCTGGCAGAATCTGGAGTGGCACTGGAGTGTTGGTTTTGGCCTCGTGTGGTCCCTGTGGGGTGGCTGAGTCAGGGGAGTTGGTGGGGCTGTGCGTGGTCTCGTGCTGGTGACACTGGTCTGGGGTGTTGGTCTGCCCTGTGGCCGGGCAGGGCTTTGTTTTGGGGCAGGGGTTGGTGGGAGGAGAGGTTAGTTTTCCTCTTTTCCCCCCTTTCCCCTCTTGTTGTGCCTGGACCTCTGTCTGTGAGGACTGACTGTTTCCTCCTTTCTCTCCTGCTGCGCTCAGTGGAGGATCATGATGATGTGTTTGTTAGGAAGCCCAGGTAAGGGGAGTGTGTGGCAGCAGGAGCTGGGGGGCTGCACATCCTGGGCAGAACCCCTTGGGCATTGCTGCCCCTCAGCTGGGAATGCTGAGCTGCGCCGTGGTGCCCCAGAAACGGTGGGTTGGGAGTGGCTGATGGCACTGGCCAAATCTCACTGGGTTGTTGTGATGTTTGGGCAGCGTCTGGACCTGGGGCACAGTGTCCTGCAAGCCTGGCGTGGGGCTGTGGGGCAGCCGAGCTCGTGGATGTCACCAGTTTGTCAGAGTTGTTCCTTGTTCTGTGCAGCCAGGCAGGGGGATGGACAGCACCCCATTTTTTGCCTTTACCTCTCTGTAAAACCTCCTGCCATGGCTCTTGGGTACCAGCTCTGCCCAGTTTGCTCTGACACAAATAAAAGTTGGGTTTGTTGCCATCTCCTTTTTGAATTTGTGTTGGAGAAGCACAGAGCCACTGGCTCTCCCTCTCTCCCTGTCCCCTTTCTTTCACTGGGCTGTGCCTCTTTAGCCCTGGCTTGTCCTGCCTGTTCCCAGCACTGCTGAGCTGGACCCTGGGCCTCCCTGTATCAGGTCACGTCCAGGTCCCCCTGCACCCCAGTGAGACTGGGGGTGATCATATCAGTAGGCAGCCAAAGTCTGTGTGGTCCCTGGGGTCCCTGGTCAGTGTGGAGAAGCCCAGAACCTTCCCTCCTGCCTCTCCCCAGGCCACCACAATGGGTGCCAGAGATCCTGGGGGTGCTGTGACTTGGCAGGACTGAAGGCCCTTGGCTCAGTACCTCATCACTAAACCAGTTACTGCTGGGCATGGGGGCTTGGCCAGCTCCCTCCTGCTTGTTGGGGTGGGGAGCCCTGCCTGCACTCCCTGGGCAGTCACCAGTGAGCAGGGCAGGCTGAATTAACTGCTTGTTCTGTAGCCAGGTCTCCGTGCCGGACCCGTCCCCAGGAGCAACGATGAAAACTGAGCCAGGACTGGGTGAGCAAAACATCTCTGGGCTTTTTGGGGAGGGGCTGCCAAGGGATCAGGAGCACTCTCCTTAAGACCTGTGTGTGTGTGTGTGTGTGTGCGTGCGTGCAGCCCCCAGGACCCCCAGTGCCACCCCCAGCCCCACCAGCCGCCCACCCTGGGCTGTGGACCCCTCGTTTGCCGAGCGCTACGCCCCGGACAAGACGAGCACGGTGGTGAGCAAGCACAGCCAGCCTGCCACGCCCACCCCCATGCAGAACCGCAGCTCCATCGTGCAGGCAGCCCAGCAAGCCCCCGAGGGGCCCGGCCGCACCCCCCTCTGCTACAAGTGCAACAAGGTCATCAGGTGAGCCCCGGCCGCCACCGCTGCCACGCCACCGTCCTGGGCCCCGGTGTGGCTGATGTGGCTCTGTCCTGCCACAGGGGACGGTACCTCGTGGCGCTGGGACATTATTACCACCCCGAGGAGTTCATCTGCTGCCAGTGCAGGAAGGTGCTGGATGAGGGCGGCTTCTTTGAGGAGAAAGGCTCCATCTTCTGCCCCAAGTGCTACGACACGCGCTACGCACCCACCTGCGCCAAGTGCAAGAAGAAGATCACTGGGGTGAGTGTCCCTCAGCCTGCCCTCCATCTCCTGTCCTTGCCCTCTGCTGTGGGTGCCTGGCTCTGTCCCTTCCCACCTGGTCCATCTCAGGGGATTCCTTGTCCCTTCCTGGCCTTGGTGGTCCTGCCCCTGGCTGACAGTGGCTCCCCTCCAGGAGGTGATGCACGCACTGAAGATGACCTGGCATGTGCAGTGCTTCACCTGCAACGCCTGCAAAACTCCCATCCGCAACCGAGCCTTCTACATGGAGGAGGGACAGCCCTACTGTGAGAGAGGTAGGACCCAGGGACCCCATGCGTCACCTCGTGTGGCCCTGGGGCACCACCGGGACTCAGCTGTGCACAGGGCTGGGGGCATGAGCTGCCCTGCTCCGTGGGCTCCCCCTGGGCTGTGGGGAGGACAGAGACCCCAGTCCCACAGCCCTGAGCACTCCATCCTGGTTCTCCCTAGCTGCAGGGTAGTGCCATGCTCCTATGTTGCCATGGCAATGAGGGAGGATGTACATCAAAGCTACTGCTGCATCCTGGGAGTTGAGGTTCTCCTCCTCCCCCTGGAGCCCTGTGGTGGCTGAGCCACCCTGCACCTTTCTGGGGTGTCTGGGGCATTCTCTCACCTGGATGGGGGCTGGCAGAGCTGTCCCCAGGCCTGTGGGATCCTGGCTGAGCTGCAGCCCTGCTCCTCTGGGATGAGCAGCTGTAGTGCATGGAAGTGCTGACCTGGGCTCTGCCTTTCTCACAGACTATGAGAAGATGTTTGGCACCAAGTGCCGTGGCTGTGACTTCAAGATCGATGCTGGGGACCGGTTCCTGGAGGCGCTGGGCTTCAGCTGGCACGACACTTGCTTTGTCTGTGCGGTGAGCAGTGTGCCTCCCTCCCCGACTGCTGCAGGGCCTGTGCCTCTCCCTGGCAGTCCTGCTCTGGATGGGCTACACCAGCAGCACAGGGGACCTGCTGCCACAAGATTTTTCCCACTTGCCTCCATTCTGGGAGCTTGGGACTCTGCTCTGAGCCTTCTGGACCCTGGCAGTGTCCCAGACCCACGTTGAGGTCCCTGTGTGACACCAGTGCTGGGCTGTGGGGGATCCAGAGGCTGGCTCAGCCCCACAGCCTGACCACCTGCACTCTCCTCCCCAGATCTGCCAGACCAACCTGGAAGGGAAGACGTTCTACTCCAAGAAGGACAAGCCTCTGTGCAAGAGCCACGCTTTCTCCCATGTGTGAGGGGTGGGAATCCAGCTGTGCCCACACATGCCCCTGGCCCTGCATGCTCCTCTCCCCCTGCCCTGCTGGCCCCAGGGAGCCAGGCTGGGCCCTTGGCCCTTTCCCTTGCTCCTGCCCCTTTCCTGGCAGCTCCTGGCTCAACTCCAGCCAGATACAGTGCTGGGTCCAGTGCCTTTGATAGCTGGGTGGCTTTTTATATGCTTCTCAACTGGCCCTAGGAGCCCTGGGAACGGGATGCTGCATGGATCTCCTGCCCCTGAGCCACGCAGCATGGTGGGCACAACTATGCTGAGGCTGGAATTGGAGAGGGTCTGCCACAGCTGGGCTGCTCCCTTGCTGCCTGGCAGATCAGTACTGGGGCAGGGATACTCCTTACACATCCCTCCCTGAGTGGGTGAGGACCAGCTCTGTCTCACTCTCCCCAGCCTTCCCTGCTGTGTGCTTGGGACTGAGACCCGGCCCTGCTCGCCCGCTGGGGCCCTGCCCATGACAACCCTCCAGCCACCCCTCAAACCGCTGCGGTGGTTTCCTGCCCCAGTTGCATTCCGGGGGTGTCTGTCCCTCATGCCCCCCACCCTGGTGGCATCCCCTGGGGCTGGCATCACCCCCAGCTGTGGGCTGGCAGCGTGTGCTGATGGCCAGCCCAGCCAGGCGGCTGCTCCTGCAAGGCTTGGGCACAGCTTCCTACCAAAGAGCTCTCTGCCACTGCCATCCTGGGGCCACCAATGCCTCCCCCCAAACCACACCCTCCGGTCGGGCTGCCCTGATGTAGCCACGGTGCTTTTAGTGCCTTTAATAAACACGTCTCTGCAAGTGCCGCCTGTCTCCGGGCCCGTGGTTTTGCCGAGTGAGGTGCGGCCGGCTGGGAAGGTCATGCTCTGCCCTCATCCCGCTCCCTCTGGGGCCTGACTCAGCTCCTTCCAGCTTTCCAGGGAAACTCTTCGCCTCACATTTCTCCTCCTCTGCCCGTGTCAGCCCAGGCTTGACCCCTTGTTTTGACTGGATCATCCCTCTGGTAGCAGGCAGGACCGCTAATGGAGGCAGTAATAAATCTGGGGGGCAAAATGCAGCAAGGAGACATTGGGGGTCAGACCTTAGTGGGAGTCCCTGTATACCTGGCAGTGTCCTCATGCCTGAGTTTTTAGAAGTGTTGAGGGGCCATGGGGCATGCATGGGCCACGTGCACCAGCTCTGGGCGTTCTCCAGCGTGGAGCAGCCAAGCGTTCGCTCACGCGCTGCAGCTGCCGTCCCGCAGGACGGGGGCGAGGCCACAGCAGCACCTCCAGCTGGAACGGGCTGGAGGGCAGCGGCTGTGGGGAAGTGGCTGTTCTCCTCCCTCTCCACTCTGACAGCTGGAACGGTCATTAATAATTGCAGCTCTTGCCATGATGAGCAATTGTAAGGAAAATTGTCTTGCTCATCTACTGGAAGGTTCTGCCGGGGGCAGGAGCTGGCTGTGGGGAGCCAAATGCCTCCTGGCATCAGCCAGATCTGGGCTGTGGTGCCATGTCTTCTCACTGCCAGTTCCAGGAGTGCAAAAGCACATCAAAGATGGGGTGAGGAAAGTCGAGGGATAAAGACAGGCTGGGGCTGGGCCAGGCGCTCAGGCTGGGGCACGGGAGAGCAATGGGATGGTCACACTAAGAAGCAGCAGGACACGGGTGCAACAAGGGACAGAAACAGCTGGTGCCTGCCTGGCAGGGCTGGCAGGAGCAGGGCTGAGTGTGCCGTGTGAGTCCCAGCTGTGCAGCCAAGGTCAGAGGAAGCACAGGGGAAGGTGAGGTGGCTGTGGCCCCACGTGGGCAGCCCCTGATCCAACCCTAGCTTGGCTGGACAGCAATCTGTGAGTGGAGGGTGGGAAAGGGGCAGGGGCAGGCAGTGGTGCGGGACGGAGCCTGGGGCGGTAGCATGGTCTGGGAACAGGTTCTGCCAGATCAGCCCCGGGGTGCCCAGCAGGGCCAGGGTGCTGCAGCCAACCTGCCTCTGCCCCTGGGGAGAGCCAAGCATCCCCCTGTGCCACTGCAAGGTCTGTGCTCATGGGGGGCTTGGCTCTGGCTGGTTCCTTGCTGCCTCTGTGCCATCCTGACGATGCCTCTACCACCCAAGGTGCCTCTTTGCCTTGCCAAGGGCATCTCTTGCCCACCAGCTCTGCGCACCATGTGAGGAGCTTGTGCACAGGCAGCGGCAGGAGGGTCTCGGGTGGGCTGCGGAGGTGGAGCCTGGGGAGGGGCTGCAGCCTCGCTGCTCCGAGAACAAAGCCTGGCGGCGGTAGGCTCAGAGCTCCCACCACATCCCTGAGCAGAGTCCCACCACATCCACCCCCAAAGCCATCTGAGCCGCTTGTGGGGCGCCTGCCGCGGCCCCAGCCCCCGCGCTGGCCCCGGCAGCTGCTCCACAGCTGCTCCCAAAGTCTCACAGCCTCTTAGGGCGGCTCCGGCTCTGGCCTCGCTCGGAAATGCTGGTGTAAGGAGGGCGTGGGGGGAGCGGGCGGCACCGCCAGGGCCCGCGGCACCCTGTCCCGTGTCCCTCTGGGGTCATCCAGGGGCTGCCTGAAGGGCTTGTCTTGGGGCCGGCCACTCCACCAACATCCCCAGCCCCCAGGAATCAGGCCCTGCGCGCTCTCCATTGCTGCTCTGGCACAGAGATCCGTCCAGAGCGGTGCTGGTCCAGGCTGGGGACAGTGCTGGGGACAGGGAATCACTGCCTGTCCTGGCAGGAGCGTTAGGATCTGGCTGGGAGCCCCTGCAGAGCCTTGCGCGGGTCAGTGCAAAACCAGCTGTGGGTTCACACCGAGGCAAAACCTCCTGGAAAAGGTGCTTGCGGTGTTCTGAAAGGATGAGGGCTTGGGAATGGTGAGGATAGAAGAGCAGATGGGCAGTAAAGAGGCCCCCCAAAAGGCTCTGTCCACTGACCCCTTGTGCAAGCAGCGAGGGCATTGCTGGGTGTGTAGGGCAAAGCCTACGGTGCGGTGTCCTTGGAGAGGAAACCTTGGTCACAGGGGCTAGGTAGGGCAGCGGAGGGCGCAGGAAGCCAGGTGTGCCACGACCTCTGGGTGTAGAGGACGTGGGGCAGGGGAGAATATGGGAATGGAGAGGACCACCCAGCAGGAGAGGTCTCCAGAGTGCAAGATCCCAGGAGGGGCAGCGCAGGATGCGGGGTCGCCAGGGAGGAGGAGAGCCCGGGATGCGAAATCACCCGGCGTGCAGGTTCCCGGAGGAGCTGAGCCGGGGTTCGGTGTCCCTGGGGCGGGGGATGGCCCGGGGCGCGGTGTTGCGGGGGCAGAGCGGAGCCCAGGCTGCGGGATCCCGGGGGCGAGCTGTGCGCGGGGGCGGCGGGGCGGGGGTGATGCTGCCCGCACCCCCGGGGTCCCGGCCCGGGGCCGGGCGGCGCGGCCGGCGGGATGCCCTGGGGGCGCCCCGGGGGCGCGGCGGGGGCGGGGGCCGGGCGGGGGGGCGGAGGGGAGGGGAGGGGGGCCGCCGTTCGCGGCGCTAGGACCGGGCGCGGCGGCGGGCGGAGCCTCCCCGCCGCTCGCCCCTCCGCCCGGCCGCTGCGGCAGTGTCTCGGAGGCGGGCAGGCGGCCGGTCCCTCCGGTCCCCCGGCAGCATCCCGGCCCCGCCATGGCTGGCGTCGGCTTCGCGGCGCACCGCCTGGAGCTGCTCGCCTCCTACCAGGACGTGATCGGCGAGGACAGCCCCACCGACTGGTGAGCGCGCCCGCCGCCGCCGCCGCCCCTTTGTCCCCGCCGCCGCCGCCGCCCTTTGTGCACGGAGCCGCCCGGTAACACCGGCCGCGCCCCGAGCTGCGCCCCCCGCCGTCCCCGGGAGCCCCGGCACACAAAGGCGGGCGGGGCGGCGGGGGGTGTGCCCGGCTCGCCGCCCCCGGTGCCCGCACCTGCCCGCCGCACCGGGCCGGGGCGCGGTCCCCGCTTTGTCTGCGCCGGGCCGGCACGTGCGAGCGCCGGGACTCCCCGGCACGGCCCGGTCCGACCCCGGCCGGGCAGCGAGAGCGGGGAGCGGGGGAATTCGCGCACGGTGGGGAGGGCCCCGTGGGGCTCCCCGGTGCTGGGCCCGGCACCGGTTCCTCGCCATTGTCTGGAGCAGGAGCCGCGGGCAGGGGCGCCCGGGGAACGGGGGATGGGGAGGGATCGGGGCCCCGCAGCCCGGCCCCGCTCCCGACCGGTCCTGCTCCCGACCGGCTCCGCCGGTACCCCGGCTGCGGGCGGTCCCGCTGCCCGGCGGAGCGAGGCCTGAAGCCGGGGGGGCACCGAGCATCTCCCGCCGCTCCCGCTACCCTCAGATTCCCTCAAGCTCCTGGGCTGCCACATCCCTGGGGGGTCGTGGTGTCGGGCCGGGATTGCCCCGCCGGGCCGGGATTGCTGTTGAGCCGGGGAGGGGAGTGGCTCTCCCCGCTGGGACCCCCGGCTTCTCGCGCTGCCCGCGCCCCGGTGCGGGGCACCCGGTGTCGAGGCCGGCCGGATCCGGGCCCGCTGCAGGGAGCATCACCCGCTGCCAGCCCACCCGCATCTCCCAGCCCAGCCGGGTGCCGGGAGGCTGGCGGGGGCCATCTGCCCCGCGATCCCCTCCCTGCCCTCCAGGGTGCCTCTGGTGTGCTGGGTGGGAACGCTGCCGGCGCGCCGGGGCGCATCTCGCCGGGCAGAGCCGCGGCGCTGGACAGTGCTGGGTGCATGCTGTGCATGATGCTTTTGGTGGGGGGCGGACGGAGGGGAGCTACTGTGCGCCCACCATCCAGCCAGGGGCATCCGCCGCCCCTCCGGGATACACCCACCACCCATCCGGGGACTCCCACCTCCCAGCTGGGCTGCACCCACAGCCCAGCCGCTCAGACGTCTATCTCTAACCAGGTCGCTGCTCTCAGCACAGGGCCTGGGCAGGTCCAGGTCCCTGCCAGTCGCCGGGGGTCTCCGCAGGGCCCCACAGTCCCGCTGTCAGCCCAGGGGCGCTGTGGGCAAGCGCCGTGTGTGCTGCCGGCCAGGCGGCAGCTGTCAGCCCTGGGTACATCTCGCTTCCCGGCATCCGCTGCAAAGGAGCCGTCCCTGCCAAAGCTGCTGAGAGCAGCAGAATCGGTTCCCGGGAAGGCG